TCCGTCCAGACCAGGAAGGGCTGAGCTGCACCCTCCAACCAGTGACGCCACTCACCCAAAGCCAGCCTGACCGCCAACAACTCCCGATTACCTATGTCGTAATTCCATTCTGGGGGACTCAGGCGGTGGGAGAGGAAGGCACAGGGGTGCACCTTCCCATCCTGGGGTGACCGCTGTGATAGGACCGCGCCTACTCCGACATCGGAGGCATCCACCTCAACAATGAATTGACGTTCAGGGTCTGGAATAGACAAGACAGGAGCAGAGATAAACCGGGACTTTAATTTATCAAAGGCCTCCTGTGCATCAACCTTCCATTTGAACGGTACCTTAGGAGAGGTGAGTGCCGTTAAGGGTGCAGCAATCTGACCAAAGTTCCGGATGAAACGCAGATAAAAGTTGGCAGACCCCAGGAACCGCTGCAGAGCCTTACGAGAGTCAGGAGCTGGCCACTCGGCAACGATAATCTATACAGGGACGCAGGGAGCCGTCCTTCTTCTTGACAAAGAAGAACCCAGCACCTGCGGGAGATGAAGAGGGTCGGATGAGACCGGCTTTGAGGGATTCGTTAATATACTTGTCCATGGCCTCTCTTTCAGGACCGGAAAGGGAAAACAAGTGACCCTTTGGCGGAGAAGTGCCTGGGAGGAGCTCGATGGCACAATCATATGGGCGATGCGGAGGTAAGGAGGTGGCCCGGGACTTGCTGAACACCAGGCGCAGGTCGTGGTACTCCGCCGGGACCCCGGTCAAATCAGCCGCCTCCGCCTGCAAGACAGGGCACACAGACACAGGAAAAGAGGCAGCACCCAAACAAGATGCAAGACAAAACTGGCTCCATGACAAGACGGAGTTGCTAGACCAATCCACGTGAGGGCCATGCTGCACCAACCACGGGTGCCCCAACACTATGGGAGCACTCGGGGATTCAAGAAGGTACAGCGTGGTCACCTCACGGTGATTGCCTGAGACAATAAGATTGACAGGAGGGGTAGCATAGGAGACAGTAGTGATTAAAGTGCCATTCAGAGAACGGGCAGGAATAGGTTCAGGAAGAGGAATGGCATGAATCGCCCACTGGGTGGCTAGAGAGCTATCCATAAAGTTGCCCTCGGCTCCTGAATCAATCAGTGCCGAGCAGGAGTTAGAAAAGTCACCAAACTGAATAGAAACAGGAAGGAGAGTACGAGAGTAGGGGGAATGCAATAAAGGGGTAGCGCTCACCAGGATCCCCCTCTTTACTGGCGAGCCTTGGCTTTTAAAGGACAGCCTGATGCAAAGTGACAAGGCTTGCCGCAGTACAGGCACAGCCCTAGGGCGAGACGTTGCTGCTTCTGTTGGGGAGTGAGGCGAAGGCGTCCCACCTGCATAGGCTCAGGCTCAGTGGAAGAAATGTTCAAGGAGTCTGTAGGGGAAACAGGAGACAACTCCTCTGCCCTCCAGGACGGACGAACTGCCAGGCGCTGACGGCGGCGGCGAAGGCGACGCTCGATCCGCAATGCCATATTGATAAGGTCGTCAAAATCATGCGGCAAGTCATGAGTGGCCAGCTCATCTTGAATGTCATCCTCCAGCCCTGCACGGAACATGGATCGACAGGCCCCTTCATTCCAGTCACAGGAAGCTGCCAGGGGTTTGAATTGGATAGCATACTCCGTCACTGAACGACCCCCCTGACGACGCCGTGCTAGTTGGTCAACTGCTTCCTGAGCCCTGGCAGAGCGGTCAAACAGCCTCACCATCTCCTGGCGGAAATCATCAAATGATGCACAACAGGGAGCACAGGCCCCTTCATTCCAGTCACAGGAAGCTGCCAGGGTCTTGAATTGGATAGCATACTCCATGACTGAACGACCCGCCTGACGAAGCTGTGCTAGTTGGTCGGCTGCTTCCTGACCCCTGGCAGAGCGGTCAAACAGCCTCACCATCTCCTGGCGGAAATCATCAAATGATGCACAACAGGGAGCTTGAGTCTCCCAGACAGACGTTCCCCAGTCTCGAGCCTTCCCAGTTAGAAGCGTCAGTACAAAAGCCACTTTGGACTCCTCAAGTGCATATGTGCGTGGCTGTAGGGCAAAGACCACAGAACACTGGGACAAGAAGGCCCGGCAGGAGTTGGGATCTCCATCATAGGGCGGTGGGTTGTTGCATCGGGGCTCAGGCTCATGACGAGGAAGAGGATGAACTGGGCCACCCTGGGCAGCTTCTCGCTGCAGCCCTTGAATGTGAGTGGTAAGCTCAGCTACTTGGTTAGCCAGAAACTCCACCTCCCTTGTGGTGTTGGTCAGTCTGGCTTCATGCTGGCCCAAAAGAGCTCCCTGCTGGGTGACCGCGGTTCTGACAGGATCTGGGCCTGCTGTGTCCATTTTGGCTAGATCGTTCTGTCAGGCACACAACACGGACACAGATGCAGGCTTCAGCAGGAAAACAGTTTATTTTTAATAAGTCCAAACAAAAAGGGAAATTCCTC